CAGCGGTTAGGATGGGATTCTTTAGGTTTTATCCTTAATCCTTAGTCCTAGAGTATGGCCCTTACTCAAAGATGTGGTTCTTACTTGTAAGCATGGCTGTTCTGGGATATTAACTGATTGATAAAAGATCTCAGTATAGCTACCCACTGTGGTTTGGCTGGAGCACCAGTGTCTCTTAGAGTTTCATTACCTGTGCCTACTGTTCTAACCATTATAGTTCTGTGATCCCTATTCAGCTATTAGTCTCACAGAAGCTACTTTCGATGAGGCCTCAGATTGTCTAGGCTTGTGCATGCACAGCCAAGCCTTTGGCCAAAACCCATAGAGATGCCTCACAGGGATTTGGGCCACACTTTGCAGGGCTCCCTACATTCTGATACCCACACTATGGCACTTCAGTATGTCTGAACTCTGATCATTGCCTCACCCTTCTTTCTTTATACTACACCTCTAGAAATTACTCCCAGGCAAAATGCCAGGGAAAATACGGAGCTCAGTTCACCTGGTTTCCTTCTGTAAAGCATTACAATCTTGGGCTGCCTGTTTCATATAACTTTTATAGTTTTATAGTTATTTTTGATGGGGAGGCAATTCTGGTACTAGTTACTACATCATGATTAGGCAGAAATTCTAATATTGTTTCTATGGACTTTGAACCTTCTCAGAACATTGCCATTATTTTCCCTATAAACTAAGAAGTGTCCAAAATATAGGTCATTGAGTTACAGAGTTATTAAACAGCATCTAAAATAAATATGTATACCAAGAGTTATTGAGTGATCAAATAAATAAAATTTCTCACTCATTTGTCAGGTTTCCTCACTGTGAAGTTACTCTTTTCTCCACCTTACCATTCTATACTCTAGAAAGAAGTCAGTACATGCAGCCCACACTTAAGGAGCATGTAGCTATGCTTCACCTTCTTGGGGGTGATTTATCTACATAAACTATAGAGTTGTTCTGAATGGGAAATGTGTCTCTTTTCCCACTTTTAATTATATGTTAAATCATTTATGTTAGTGTGGATTCATGGATATTTAAGTTTGGATTATAATTTTGTACACACACACACACACACACACATATATATATACATACACACACACATACACACGTGCGCGCACGCGCGCGCACACACACACACACACACACACACACACACATATTTGCTCAATTTGCTTCAGCTTTGGCCATTGGCAGTTCTTTCAGTTGGCTCCTCTATTCCATCTTTGACTGTGTGTGTGTGTGTGTGTGTGTGTGTGTGTGTGTGTGTGCGATGCTTTGAGTACTTTCTTACTTTCTGACACTATAAGATGCTCCAGACTCAAATTGCTCCAGCTTTGGCCACTGGAGCTCTTTCAGTTGGCTCCTGTCTCCTAACATTGAATGTGTGTATGTTGAGTTCTTACTTTCTGTCTTCTGACTTCTTACTGCAATATGCTGCAGGGCTCATCTTATATATTCCCTTCCCTAGTATTACAATCAGCTATTTCTCAAAGAAGAGCTGTCTTTTTATTGGAGAATGGTATTAGAAACCAAAATCTGGGCTCTAAGTGTGCTTACTGCTACTATACTTGTTTCCAGACCATATCACCTGACAGAAAAATGAAATATATATGTGTATACTAAAAAAAGTATAAACACACATCTATAAATGCTTCTATATGCAACAATATATGTGTATAATAAGCTAAAAATGATTTCATATTGATATCTTCAACTCTAATTTATTGCCACATGGATCATTGTCCCTCTTCCTTTTGTGTATCTGTAAATTTCCCCTCCAACAGTAAGATACCTGGTTCCTACCAATGGCCATTTACATAATTGTTCAATTTCATTGTACATGTATAGCAGTAGCAGAATTGTTAACCCATAATTCCAAGCCAAACAACTTTTTAAACTGGAATATTGTGCTTACCTATAGTTTCTCTTGCCTTCAGTTTTATACATTCCTCTTATTTCTAAAGTTATTTTGATCAGCACTTTCCCACCTATTTCTGCAGAGAGGTTGTTTCATACACTTGTAATAAAGTTAGATGTTCTGCCACATTCTGAGATCCCTCAACCTCTTATTTTTAAATTACATACATTAAGATTCACTATTTGTACAGTGAGAGTCCATAGTTTTGACAAATGCCTTGTGCCAAGTACTCACCATTTTAGTATCATAATAGTTTCACAGGCTTGCAAAATCCTCTGTACTTTACCTATTCAACCCTCCTTCTCTCTGCCTATATACCTGGCAACATTGATTTTTTTTTTTTTTTTTTTTTTTTGAGATGGAGCCTTGTGCTGTCACCCAGGCTGGAGTTCAATGGCACAATCTTGAAACCTCCATTTCCCAGGTTCGAGCAATTCTTCTGCCTCAGCCTCCCAAGTAGCTGGGCTTACAGGCGTCTGCCACCATGCCTGGCTAAATTTTTGTATTTTTAGTAGAGATGGAGTTTCACTATGTTGTTCCAGGCTGGTCTCAAACTCCTGACTTTGTGATCCACCCACCTTGGCCACCCAAGTGCCAAGATTACAAGTGTGAGCCACGATGCCCGGCAATCTTTCTATTGCCTTTATAGTTTTGCATTTTCCATGATGTAGTACAAATAGAATCATATAATATGGAGCCTCTCACTTAGCAACATGTAGTTAAAATTCTACATGTCTATATTATATCATTTTTTAATGTATGTAGGTATAATAGACCATTGAAATCCAAATTTATTTCAAAATGTGCTTGAATTTGTTGTGGGTTTAAAAAATATTTGTAATCAATGAATACTAAAAGTATGACTACTATCATGTAGTGGTCCATAATTTTGTAAATATTTACTTTAAAATAAAACCTTTATATTTGAAAAGGCTGAAGAACATGGCTATCGTACATCGGCAGCTGTCACTCCTTTCCCTATTTAGTTAAGGCCTAATTCATTAACTAAATTTCTGAGGAACTTTTAAATGTAAGATGCAAGCAATCAACTGTAGCAGCTATGATAATATGTGTTTTACAACAATATTTCCTGTTTTTTCTAGGTTATTTATTCTTGAATTTTTCACTGGCCCGATAGAGTGGAAATCATATGGCTCTGGATGTAACCATTCCCAGTTGTGTGACCTGTAAAGAAGGCAGTTATTCATTCTGAGTCTCAGTTTTCTCACTAAATAATAACAAAACGAATCTTATCGGAGCACATAAAAGATAATGGGAGGGAGTCAGAATAAACTAATAACTGACACAAAGAACAAATATATATGAAGAGGTGAATGTCAGCAACAGGTGAGTTTGAGAAAGCGTGAAACAAGGGTGGCAGGAATTCACAGGACAGAAGCAAATGCAGCTTGTGATTCTCCAACAATCTCTTACATTAGGTTGGTGCGAAAGTTATTGGGGTTTTGCTATTTTGTTGGCAAAGCCAAAATTAATTTTGCACCAAACTAATAGTTTTAACTGGGTGTTGCTCAAGTATAAAATCCTTTAAAACATTCTTATCTCTATGTTGGTGCTCACTTAGGAATTGATGTTTTTTGTTTGAGAGATACATGACGTAAACAGGGGACATTGGGCATGTACTCATTTCTTGGTTGAGTCCTTGCTTCCCATATAATTGTTCTGTGGCTTATTCAATTTCTTTCATGCCATTAATGCTCAAATTTTTCATCAGTGAATTGGGGATAATATATACTTCATAGGGTATCATAAGAGAGAACTGGGGAAAAGACTTTTGTGAACTCCAAAGAACCTAATATTCATACCTGCTTCCACTCTAAGTAAAGAGAAAGTAGAATGGTTTGAAGAAACAGTATTTGAAAAGGGAGAGTGATACCTACAACAGTGATAACTACATACAGGCAAATATTTGGATAAGAGTAACAGATTAAATTATTGAGATATGTGCATGTGGATGGGTTTGTGTGGATTGTGGGTGATGTCTGCAATAAACATTTATACAATTAGAGAAATCTAGATTACTGATTTCATTTTTACTTTTCAAAATTTTGGCACTAACCACCATAAAAGTCAGAGAGATAGTTTAGTACCATTCATCAACTTAAAGATGACTATTAATTTAACTCTCAGCTCATTTATTAAACTATAACAACTACCATTTCTTTATCTTTTACCATATATTTTATATTGAAATTTTAAATAAATATTTCTATAAGACTTTCAAGTTTTATAAATCCCTCCAATTATTTGGAGTTTTAAATTAGCATACTTGTCTCACAGTCTAGTAAAAAGAAAATGTATGTGCTCATTTAGAATGTTACATGCAGTTGGAATTTAGATTGTTAGCAGCTGAAATGTATTTTATTCTGAAAAAAAGTTATAGAACTAGTCAGTCCAACACTGATGATCTGTTTTGATTAAAATAGAAAATGGGATGAGAAATTAAGATGTTCTAAATTTTCTTTTTGAAGGATAATAAAATGTTTTGAACAATTGTATCTCAGAGGGTTATGCTGGTAAAGAATAAAAACACAGGGCTTTGAGGTAAAGACAAAAGTGCTTCCCTTGTATCTAGGCAAGAAAGGCCCCTGTTGTAGGCCTCCACATTTTGCAAGCTCCAACTCTAACCTTACTCTTTGACTATCTATGTTGAGTTGTCTTCAGGGCTAATGCTATGTGTCCATCCAGAAGCAGCAGCCGTCTCATTCCCCACTGCCGCTAGACCATTCTCAGGGTAACAGGTATCTTGAAATACATTTAAGAGTCATGAATCAACTTGTTGACCTGGGAAGACCTCTTTCCTAGACCTAGGAGCCCGAAGGGTGGCCAAGAAAGTGAGAGAATTAGAGAGATGAGACTCGGACATGCCTAGACTGCTAGCTGCATTGTCTACAGGTATGTCTGTGAGGCCTAGAGTGGCATGGGTTGGAGCCACGGGTGGAAAAATATGGTAGGCTGCAGAGCAGAGGCTGGGCACCAGGGGCTGGCTCTCTGCATGCACTTTAAGGAGTCTAAGGACTTGCTTCAAACCTAGGCTTCCATATCATAATGATGTATATTTGTCAAAGTAGGAGCTGTGAAAATAAGAAAATCAAAATCTAAGCTATTGGAACTAAAATATTTTGAGCCCTAAGGGACTATGATTATGGAACCCAAGTCATGTAAACAGGCAGCCATAACCTAGACAGCTGTAATATTTGTTTCTCTGATTAGCTTTTTTCCTTACCTATATTGTTGTATAAAATGTCATGACTAAAGTGTGCCAGTCATAAATGACTAAACGGTGTAAAATGTAGATAATGACTAAACGGTGTAAAATGTAGATAATTAAAGGGTCCCCTTCCTTCTTAAATGCTGATCTTCATCAAAGATTAACTTCTCTCTTTTCTCTGTCACATCAACACTCCATGACTATCACATTCTCTAGGATGAAATGTTAAATCACTCTTATAAATTAGAAAGAAAATGAAAATAAGCTTTACAGAAAAGAAACTATAACTAATTAAATTGCTGTAAGCCAAAAACTAGTCTTGTCCAGAAAAGTTATAATCCTTCAAAATTTCTTTGTGTTCTGACTATATAAGCAAAGTCTTAAGTGTGTGTGTGTGTGTGTGTGTGTGTGTGTGTGTGTGTGTGTGTTTGAGACAGAGTCTTGCTCTGATGCTCAGGCTGGAGTGTAGTGGTGTAATCTTGGCTCACTGTAACCTACACCTCCAAGGTTCAAGTGATTCTCCTGCCTCAGGCTGGAGTGCAGTGGTACAATCTTGGCCCACTGGAACCTCCACCTCAAAGGTTCAAGTGATAATCCTGCCTCAGCCTCCTAGTAGCTGGGACTACAGGCATGCACCACAACCCCAGCTAATTTATTTTGTATTTTTAGTTAAGATGGGGTTTCATCATGCTGGTCAGGCTGGTCTTGAACTCCTGACCTCAAATGATCTACTTGCCTCAGCCTCCCAAAGTGCTGGGATTACAGGTATGAGCCACCACATCCAGCGTGTCTTAGTTTTTAACTTTGGAGCACTAACGCCATTTCTCTGCAGTTCATGTTTCCTGGATGATCATTCCCAGCTTTTGGCCTGAAAAAATGTTTTAAAACTGGATTCTGACTCTTTCAGTTATTTCAGGTTGACAAAATGGTAACTCCTATGGAATCCAAAGTGGGCTCTTTCCTTTGACTCCTGCTGCTTCGTTAATCAGCACCCGGTACCTGCAGAACCGTTTCTGTCCAACCATCTTTCACCAGAGTTTATGGGACCTCTTGGTGGAGCCCCTCTGGGGTTTTTTAATATCCCTGGCTTAGGTGAGATCCAGACTTTATAAAAGCAATCTGATTCCGTGCTCAACAGGGCTTGAATTGAAGCTCTGCTGCTGTAAGGAAGGAATTTTGTTTGTTATTTCTCTCAAGATTCTGCTGTTACCAGGTTTGTGGTTTCACTTTTCTTTGAGGTTAAAAGAAAAACTTTTTGTTGACCTTACTTGCTAAAATTCGCAACATTTTCTTTCTTTCAAAACCTGGTTAAAGAAAAAGCTCTTTCTCTTTAATAGGAAGGAATAAATGTCTGTGGCTTAAGCAAAAATGAGAGTCTCAAACTGGCCAGGTTTTGAAGCTTGGTTCAAATTGGCACAATTAAATTCTTTTAAGTCACTGAAAATGTATTAAAAAAAAAACCTTAATGAGAATGTGATAAGTCCCAAAAATGAAGGGACAGAAAGCACCTTAGGTGACTAAGGTCTTGTGAGAGCGTCAGAGTTTGTAGCTCCTGATAAGCATTGGTCCCCTAGAGAATCCCCAAAGATGAACATATAGGAAGAAACCCCACATAAAGGGCTAATCTCCCAGTGCTTTGAGTGTCCAGAATTTCTGGGTTTTACCACAACATGTAGGAGAGGAGAACCAACCCAAGGGTGAAACCTTGGGGAGCTAGTCCCATAGGCAGTACATTTGATCCAAAATATCTTTCCCTTTCTGCTTTTTGGTCACTTAAAAAGAGAATATAAATTATAGGCAATCAGCCGTCTAAAACCAAGTCTTCCTTAAGGAAAGGTCTGACTTTAGAAACTTCAGCTAGATTCATATGCAATACTTATGATGCCACCTCTTGTAATCATTTTTTAAAATGTCTCATATAACCTGTGATGAATCTAAATCACAATGGCCAAGTTGAGGTGCCTTTGAAATGCCTAAACTATTAATAACTTATTCGCATGCTCAATTAGAAAAAGCTGGCTCTAGGATAAAACAAAATAATTGTAAGAGTTATTTCCAATGGTATTTGGAAGCATCCAAAAAAGGTTCTAATAAAGTTACTTCTTTGCCGAGGAAAAACAAAAGACTGTCAAACAACTTCTGTATTTTCAAAGCCTTTTGAAGCTTCTCTTCCCTCAGGAGCTTCTCCTCCCCATTCCTCAGCTCCCCTTTCTCTTTACCCTTTACTGTTTGAATTACTTTACCCCCATCTGCCTTCCCTTCCTTCTTCCCATCCTCTGTTGCTCTGGCTCAGTTTCATGAACAACCAATGCCTGGTGGTGGGGCTAGAAGAGACCTGCCTTACTTTATCAACCATGGTCAAAGGTAGAATTTGAAGGCATAGTTAAGGAATTTCCTGACATTCATCAGGACTCTATTGGCTTGCTAAACAATTTGAACTAAATATTCAAGCTTATGACCCTGGCTATTTGAATTGATGTCAACTAGTTCACATGTTAGTTTTAGAAAGTAAGGCTAAAGATTAAATAGATAAAGCCTCGTGAGAAATCTCCTGGACGATTTCCATAAATGTTCAGAGGAATACCACAGGAGTGCTCCTGAAACTGCAAAGGCTTTTCTTACAGCCCTGCCTTTAATCTTCCAAAAGGTAGTCGACTGGCATAAAATACAACAATGTTGACAAAATCCAGATGAGTCAGTAATGTCATATTTTGAAAGAATTGAAAAGACATTTACACAATATTCAGGCTTATCTGAGGAAAGTTATGCTAATCATCAGAATGATTAACTCCTCAATTCTAGCTTTATAAATGGAAGAGATGAAGAATTAGCACTAACAATAAAGAGAAAAATGAACTGAGTCATTTCTCAAAGATGATTTGGTAAATGTTACTGACCAGTTGTCTTGTACTTTAACTTTGAAAGAAGAAAAGGAGAAAGATGCCAGAGAAAAGAATAAAGCTGATAAGATCATGAACTTGCAACTAAAACAATTATCCATCCAGCCTGTACCATCAAAATATTCTCAGTAAAACTCTAAATGAATCTAACTTCCCAATTTGCAATTACTGCAAAACACCCATCCATTTAAAATGAATTGTTGAGAACTACAACAGAAGGATAAAGAGGATACTACAACAGAAGGATAAAGAGGATAAAACAACAGATAAAGGAGGAAAAGTTAGGAGTAATTCAAGAAACTTGGATCTTACTAACACTCTGGGAAACATACAAATTATTTTAAATGAAGAATAATTCCACACCCTTGTTGATACTGGGACAATGTTATCTTTGATAAATCCCACCTTATTACAAGTCCCCGTTCCTCAAAATAAACACTTGGTCCAAATGGTGAGTGTTACATATACTCCTGAATCAGTGTACAAATCCCAACTGCTAACTTTTCAAGTAGGTCCATTGCAAGGGACTCATGTCTCCTTTTGGTTGCTTCAGCACCCAACCATTTAATAGGAAGAGACTTCTTAGAACTATATAATATTCATATATTTTTTTTTGAGACGGAGTCTCACTGCTCTGTCACCCAGGCTGGAGTGCAGTAGCGTGATCACCACAGCCTTCGCCTTCTGGGTTCAAGCAATTCTCCTGCCTCAGCCTCCCGAGTAGCTGGGGTTACAGGCATATGCCACCATGCCTGGCTAATTTTTGTGGGATTTTTTTAGCAGACATGAGGTTTCACCATGTTGGTCAGGATGGTCTCGAACTCCTGACCTCTTGATCTGCCCACCTCAGCCTCCCAAAGTGCTGGAATTACAGGTATGAGCAACCACACCCAGCCAGAACCACATAATATTCATATTTCTTTCTTCCAAAAAGGTGAAACGTATTTAGAATTAGGTAATATGGATAATAAAACAAAATTAACAGAAACAGCAAAATTTTCAAAATCTAATCGAATTACTATCCATTTGCCATTAAGGACATTGAAATATTAAGCAATGAAGAATTTTAAAAACTGCTAAAGGTATTAACTGATCAATTGTGTTCAAAGTTATCCACTTATATAAAAACTATTGTTTCAGATACTCCAATAAAAATTAAATTAGATTCAACAAAACCATTTCAAAATATCAAACAATAGCACTTGAGAAGTGAGGCTCCTAGACAGAATAAAATCTGTAATTTCAGATTATATAGAAAGAGGGGTGGTCGTTCTCTGTACAAGCCATTAGAATACAGTGATCCAGTAAGAAACCCTAATGGTAGAGGATAGGGCTTTATACAGCATTTGAGAGCAATAAACAACATAGTAATGTCATATTACCCAGTAGTGCCTAATCCTGATCCATTGTTCGCAGCTATTCTATTTAATGCAGAATTTTTTTTATAGTCATAGACTTATGCAGTGCTTTTGTTAGTATTCCCGCAGATAAATTTAACCAATTTATCTTTGCCTTCACTTGGGAAGATGGACAACATACCTGGACAATCATGTCCCAGGGATACACTGAAAGACCAACCTACTTTTCACTAGTATTAAAAACAGACCTCTCAGATGCTGACTTTATTGAGAAGTCTGTCTTAATACAATATGTAGATGATTTGCTTCTTTGCACAGAGTACAAATAGATTTCCACAGTGGATGGATTAGCCTTAATGGGTCATAAGATTTCTAAAGAAAAACTTCAATTTTGTCAAAAACAAGTAAGGTACTTAGCCCACCTAATATCCAAGGAAGGGCCTTCTATTACTCCAGATATATTTACATAGCCTTTCCACCACCGAGAACCAAGAAACAATTTAGATGGTTTTGGGGACTGCAGGATATTGTAAAAATTAGATCCCAAACTTGCCTTCAAAAGCCAAGCCCTTATATGCTCTCTTAAAACAGGACATGTGAGACCTTCTAGAATGAACAGAAAAAAATCAACTGATAATAGAAATTATTAAAAATGACTTTGCTAACACCTTGACCATGGGGCATCCAAATTATAGTCATTCATTTTCATTATTCATACATGAAAGTGAAGGAAACACTTTAGGGCTTCTAATTCAAAGCCATGGAAATCAAAATCGGCTTATAGGGTGGCATAGCCAACAATTAGACCCATAGAAAGGGGATTGCCACCTTGAATGTGTGCCATAACAGCTACAGCTTTATTAGTCAAAACAACAAAAGAAATTATAATAAGAGAACCTCATATTATCTTCATCCCTCATTCTGGGGAGGCATTGCTGAACTCACATCACTCTAGTTAGTAGATTGGTTTCTCATAAGGTCCTGCTTTTTTGAGCTTCTTACATCATTGTCTCTAGATGTAACCATCTAAACCCTGCAACTGTTTTGCCTTAATTTTTAGACGAGATGATGCATGACTCCATAACCCTAACTGATCAACTTCTTCCTCTCAGGTCAGACCTATGATAGACCCTCCCCCGCCTTACCAACACTGATATTGTTAGGTTTACAGACGGATATCACTTAAAGGCTAAATCTGGAGTCTACAGAGCTGATACACTATAATGTCTTTAACTGAAGAGATAAAAAGCACCCATATTCTGAAAGCCACCTCAGCTCAATAAACAGAATTAACAACATTAATTAGGTCCTATCGATTGACAAAAGGAACATCCATTAATATTTATACAGATAGTAGATATGCTTTTGGAATAGTCCATTACTTTTGGAATACTATGGAAACAAAGAGAGTTCTTAGCCTCTTCAGGACAATCCACAAAAAATGGATGTCTTATTTCACAACTACTAAAAGCCATATTGCCAGAATCACTGGCTGTTTTTAAATTCCAGGTCATTCCAAACCAGATACTCCAGAAAACGAGGAAAACAGCCACCTGAAAAGATAATAAAGAGAGCTGCTCCAAACACAACCAAACAGGAAAACCAACCTATATGAGCTTTTAAAAAAGCACCTGAAGTTGATATAAAATTAGTTTAATCTGGAGCCCCAAAGTCAGAACAATAAGTTTGGGAAACAGAAAGGAGAAAATATTCCCCAGAAGGTGAGGTATTACATGGGCCAAATGATTTGCCCATACTTCCTGCTGAATTATAGTTATCATTTTTAACTTCTGTGCATGATCTAACTCACTGGAGTCTTGAGAAAACTGTTGCTTGAAAAAAATGATATCACTGGAAACCTTTTTGGACTGCAGCTCGTAAGGCATATAACTGCTGTCATATTTGCCAAAGTATAATCCAGGAAAACCATTACATGATTCCCAAGGACACTTTTATTTACCTGAGGCTCCCTTTGAAATATGGCAACTATATTTTATTCAGCTGCCACCCTCACAAGGCTACAAATATGTCCTGGTAATGATTTGCATATTTTCTCATTTGAATGGAGGTATTATCATACAGAAAAGCAACAGCATTAGCAGTAAGTAAAATACTTTTAGAAAAAATTATTCTGACCTGAAGATTTCCTCCAGAACTTCATAATGACAGAGACACTCACTTCACTGGACAAATCATTCAATCAATATGTAGAATCTGGCCTATTTCCCAACATTTTCATTGTGCTTATTACCCCAGTTATTTTGATTAGTAGAATATACAAACAAGATAAGCAAAATTAACTGAGACTTTTAAAATGTGGGGTCCAAAAACTCCTTTATTGGTTCTGCTAAACCTAAGATCCACTCTTCACTAAACACCAGTTTTCTGAGATAAGAGGCAGACTTATGGAAATATCTCTTGGAAATTTTGCCTCCTTATAAGTAAAAGAAGATATATTCACTTACTCTAATGGTCTTATGAAAAAATTAACTAAAAATTATGAATTGGTAAAAGAATCTTTTCATAGTAAGCTTACAGTGACAAAAATCTCAAGAACCATGGACTTAACCTGGGCACTTTGTCTATTGGAAATTACATCTCTTCAAGGATTCTCTCCAACCAAGATAAAATTGACATTACCAGGTATTCTTTATGAAACCTTGTGCTACTAAACTATAAGGCATAGACTCCTGGATTAACATCTCTCATCATAAGAAAGTTGAACTTCCTAAATAGGCTGTTTAGCCAGATGATCTTCAACTTAAGTGATGCTGGGACGAGGTAAAGATTGCAGAGGAGGTCAGCTTTCCCAAGACCCTGGATTAGGCCTGTATTTAAAGGAATACTTAATATTATCAATTGATAATAGATGGGAAAGGTTCTCTTTTACAAACTCCCACTAAGCTTCCTTCTTTTCATCCTAGTGGTCATGTCTCGTAACTACTATCACTAGCTGTAGTGGGTTTATTCGTTGAAGCAAACCTCTTTTTGCAGTGGGTTCAAGACTATACTAGTAGATTACAAAAGGATGCTTGTTAGGTCTGCAGCTTCATGCCCTTGCCAGTAGTTTTGGCCTTCTATGGTAGGTATCTCCTGTCCAAGGACAAGATTGGATAGAATACCAGAAATATATATGTGTTTCTCAAAAACAGTCATCAGTGCTTAACACTAAAGTGGCTAAAGATAATGCACATCACTGGCTTATAAATAATACAAAATAAAGTGCATTGGAAGAGCTTCTCAACCGAAGAAATTAATTTGTTAGCTTTGACACTGATGCTTCCCCAGTTGGGAAATAAGATAACTCAATGTAAAGATGGTGTAACACAAATTTGGGATGTTTTTATCTGGCTTATCCTCTCCTGTGATCAGCACAGTCAACTAACCTCTTTAAGGTAGGAAAAGATAAATTACACCAAAAATACCTGGTTCAATTGCACCAGAGATATAGATTCCCAAATCATGGTGTATCCACACCATTATATTACAAAGTACTGATTGACATGCCACTGAATGGGCACAATGACTATTTATTGATTAGCTCCAAGTGGAACATCTTGGCTGTGTGGCACTAACCTAAGGCCAGGATTACTCCAAGGATGGTTAAGATGTTCTTTGGGTTATGCATGGGCACAAAGTTGACATACCCTGTAAAAACTTGTAAATTTTCCTCATTTACAATCCTGTTGGGTTCATCCTGTGTTCCACTCGTATGACTTTTTAGCTTCCATTTTTGTACCACAACTGGATTTGAGGATGTCATTTGCCATATAGAGGCCACGACCAATTATAAATAAAAAGCTCTAAATGAGGGCACGTGGGTATTTCATTATTAAACAAGAAAGTTATTCTTATGAGAAAAGCTGTATTACAGAGCTGGGCAGCTTTAGACATAGCCACTGCAGCCCAAGAGGGAATCTGCCCTATCATAAAAACTGAATTTTATGCCTATATCCTAGATAAATCAAATAACATCACTACATTAATGACTGGTATGAAAACCCAAATAACTATCCTTTCATATCTAAAATCTTCTCTAAACAACTCTCTAGGTTGCTAAATTGGATCCTAAGAAAATCGGTGGCAAAAGCTGTTACTTATTTTAGGAATTATAATTGCATGTTGTATTTTGGCCTGTTTGTGTCAACATTGTTGTTATAGCATGTGTTTACAATGGAATCAATGGATGACTGAAAAGACTAAAATAATGGTTTCCCAAAGAATTGCATTAATTGAAGATATAGCTGTTTAGCCTGACTCAGGCCACAAAGTTACTTCCTTCATGTTTCTTTAAATTCAGCCTAAAGTCCATCAGCTTGATACCTTATCCACATGATATCCTAGCAGTGAGGCTTTTTAGTAATGTGAGACTAAAACTCCTGAACATGGAAGGAGTAAAGCCATTGAATTCATCTACAGCGGTTTCTTCAGAAGATCTTGATGAATGGGAAAGAATATGAAAAAAAGTAATTCTAACATATAAACTGGTGGAGCTTTAAAATACTTTGAGCCTTAAGGGAATGTAGTTATGGGACCTGGATCATGAAAACTGGGAGCAGTAACCTAGACAGCTATAATATTTATTTTTCTGATTGCAGATTAGCTTTCTTCCTTACTTACGTTATTGTGTGAATGTCAGAAATGACTAAAGGGTGCCAGAGAAAAACACTTCCCTCTTAAATGTCAGTCTTCATTATAAAGGAGCTACTCTCTTTCCTCTCTCACACAAAGACTTCATGACTATCACATTGTTTAGGATGGAATGTTAAATACACTCTTAAATTAGAAAGAAAAGGAAAACAAACTGTAAAAAAAGAGAGAAAATGAACTGGATGGAAAAGAAAACTAACTTTAGTTATATTGTTGTAAGCCATAAACCAGCCTCGTATAAAATATGTTATCATCCTTCTAAGTGTCTTTGTTTTCTGCCTATAATAGGAAGACCTTAACTTTTAATTTTGGAGCACTGACCCCATTTCTGTGAAGTCCATGCTTCCCAAATTGCTATTCCCAGCTTTTCGCTTGAATTAAATTCTTTAAGACTAGATTCCAATCCTTTCAATTATTTCAGGTTGACAAATACAGAACATATTCTATTTAACAGTTTGTTAGTTTGATTGATAACTTTTAAGTATTTAGACATATGGTATGTGAGTTTCCATATGTACTCTTGCCTTGAGTCTAGAATATATTAGGGACAACCTGGAAGCGACCCAAACTTCAGTTCTGGCCCTTCCACCAACTAGCCCATAAACTTGAAAAAATGACTTCAAATCCTTGGGTTCTACTTTTAATATTTGTAGAAGAAAGTGGCTGATTTATTTTCAATAATATTTCTGTCACTTATTAGCTGTGTAACTTTGAGCACTTTACCTAAAATTCTTGGTCTTAGTCTTAAATCTATCAAATCTAAGGTTTAGATTAGGCGATTATTTGATAGGCTATTTTAGTTCTATTCTATGAAGAATTATTTTTTTATTAGATAGTCACATTTTGTGAGAAGAAGGAAACATATTATTAGAGTAATGGCTAAGTTTAATAAATGTTAACCTGCTTTGAATTGAGTTCCTTCTTTCCTGCAGTACCCTCTTTGCAGATTCGTAGTCATCTGGTAGCTCAGTATTGTTCTAACTTAAGTTAAAATTATGACTGAAAAATGTGGTCGAAGGTTAAAAATCAATTAAATGGTAATTACAGTTATTTGTTTTGAAAGTTCAGGTAATATTTTACACCATGAATCTGTTGGATGACAGTCGATATGGATTAATCAGCAACCTGCGTTCTCTTTGATCATGACCCAAATCTGCTCTGGACAGGAGTGACAGTAAGGAAATAATTATGAGCCATTCCCTTGGAGTGGTGCACTTGGAGCCGTTTGGATAAAAAACCTCTCTCAGTGCATAGTGGAGCTCTTGTTGCTGTTACGTAGGAAAATCAGATTAATTGTCCCAGTTCATGTCCTAGAGCACAGAGGGCAGTTCCGGTCAGCCACAACAATTCTTCCTTGCCCTTTGTTATATGTCGATTGCCCAGGAGGCAAAGGTTGATATGTTACCTTTTGTTTTACAAGGCATGGGCACAACCAGGGATGCTCACTGGGCTATGAGTGGCACTGGAAACTGTTCTGAGCACAGTAGCTAGAGAGCCTAAGGAAAAGCTCGCTCACTGGACAATACTGTTTTCTCAGACTTTGTGTTTTTCAGCTATTGATACCAACTTCAAATTTTCTCTATATCATTTCTTTCACCTTTAAAGTGAAGATTTACTTCTACTTCATGGAAAAATTGTGATGCATAAGCATGATTAACAGCAACCTTTTCTCTTAGTAATCCCATTTACATAAAAACTATCACATGAGACCACTTGTCTCTAATGAAGAGGTTGCCCTCACCCTCCCATTTTGGACCGCAAAAACAGATAGAAAACATCATTCAAAAAATTAGACATTTGATTAATAAATATTGTTAACTAGAATGTCACAGTAAATAAATTCCGTGTGACTTCTTTGTAACATCTATAATTGTGATTTAAAAGAAGGGAAAACAATTACAATGATATATGTGACTCAAGGTCAATCCTTAAAATACTACTTTATCACAACTCCAGAAGCAAAGACTTATAACTTTAATTGTACCAGTAGAGAAAATACCCACACATCCATATTTAAAAACTAATGAGAACGTTGTTCACATCATTGCTTGGCCAGAGACTTAGTGGGGGATGGGAGGTAGACTTGAATTAAGTAGAGTGTTCATTTGAAGGTAAATTGAGAGATTTTTTTCAGCCTACTCAAGTTTAATTAAAAATAAATGTGCAAAATTGTTTTAAAAGATTGTACACAGTGATTATCTCAAATTGCCATGGGAAATACAGAAATGCCTCATTAAAAAACACATTTAGACATTTTTTAAATATATAAACTCCATCATTTATATTCTAGCTTAGAAAAACCTCCTCACTTCTAAAAAAAAATACAAGCCAAAATATGTCATCATCATTTTTATGTGTCCCAGAATATTATGTATATGTGTTAAGATGATTTTGGTGCACAACATCACAAAAATCATTTTAAATGGAAACTGCAGTGCTTTTGCAAAAATAAAACAAGATCACAGAACAAATAAAGGATTACTGAATTATCTATTGAATAAAATAAAATGGGATCAAACCTGGGAAACTTCCAAAAATTAGGCTGGATAAGAATCATGATGCTGCTCAACTCTGCAATGCTTTGGCATCAGGCAGAGATTATATTCCATCTCAGAGTCCTAAACTGTGTTTATATAATACTTAAATATCTTGATTTTTTTAAGTTCAATGATATTTGACTTAAAAAGAAATTTTGTTGATATTTCTGTCATTCAGTTAAATAATAGTTTTGGGTTGTACAACCATATCACAAATTCAGACTTGTCTTAAAAGTCATAAAGAAATGCCTAGTTACCTTCTGCTTATTTTTTCTGATCCTGAAGAGACAAGAGCACCTCATATGCTTGTTGCTGATGGTTAAAGATATAAGCAAAAGGTTATGGAGTGAACGTCACGTGGGAAAGAAAAAAAAGTTATATCAATATTTTAAGACATGGAGTAATTTGGTCAACATTTTCAAAAACATAAACATATTTTGTGGGTTTAAGAAGAAAATATATCAATATTTTTAATTTTATTAATATGTTTAAAACGAAGCCTGAATAATAAACAGTGCAGAGAAAATATGGGTATTATATAATCAAATTATTATTAATAATTATATTGCTTCTTTTCAGTTGTGTTTTTGGTGATGGTTACTTTTTATGACCCAGATTACCTATGACATATTTCCTTCTTGAAATTCTCAAACTTGTTACACTGTATAATGAATATAATATGCAGATACATGCTGATTTTAGTGTTTGCCCTTTCCAAAACTCACATTGAAATGTAATTGCCATTTTCATGGTATTAAAAAGTGGGACCTTTAAGAGGTATTTATACAAAGAGGGTTTCACTCTTATGGGTGGTTTAATGCTTTTAAAAAGAGGCTTTCAGGAGTGGGTTCTCTCTTTTTGCTATTCCACTCTTGCCATGTGAGGAGCTGTGTTTCTGTCCTTTGGAAGATGCAGTGTTCAAAGTGCCATCTTGGAAGTGAACATTGGATCCTCATCAGAAACCAAATCTGTCAGTGCCTTGATATTGGCCTTCCTAACCTCCAGAACAGTGAGAAATAAATTTCTGTTCTTTATAAATTTTCTAGTCTCATGTATTCTATTATAGCAGCACAAAACAGACTAAAACATGAAACTGAGAAGTATTAATCACTAAAAAGAGATTTCCTTCTTAGGTGGAACTATGTGTAGACAATTTGATCACTAGTATGGCATCTTGGGGAGCTAACCGTTTACAAGCAATTATTATCTTTTGTATCTTTATGTGTTAATGTTTAGTGGAACTCCAAAGCAGTAGAAAATTTTGGAAACTAGCAAAATATATTATTTAATTTATGATCCTTGGGAATTCTATGTTAGGGGTTATATTGGTCCAGCAGCATTATTTGTGTAGTCAACTTAGACTCCTTAGGCAAGTTGTCTGCTCTGTGAAGTTTACCTGAGGCAAATTTTGCTTTCAGGTATTTAAAGTATTCACAGACAATTAGCACCAGTCTAGTTAACTATTTGGCTAACATCTTATACTGCCTCAATGAACTCAAGACTTTCAAAAGGGTAAAGCCTAAAAGGCAGAATTGAAACTGAAGTACCTCCTTAAGTTACCTATGGTAGAGGAAGATTTAGCATAGTAACACATGCTGTGATTGGGGTGTTGCTTGAGCCAAAGTGACAAATGCTGGGCCCAGTATATCATGTCTGGAGGCAGAGCTGGATGATGGACAAAAGGGAAATGATTGTGAATCATCAGAAATGCATTCCCCTCTCCAAACATGTGGCTTTCTCCTTCAACCAAATCATCTACAAAATATGCATTCACTATAAAGAATATAAGGAAATGGAAATATTTTTTAAAATATTTAAAGGGCATGACAAAACTAGCTAAGAAAGATCTGAATAAACACCCATTTGTCAGGAGTTCTGAATTGGAGAATATATAAACCAGCAGACCGTGTGGGCCCCTTTGCACATCTCAGCTCTTCCTAAATCAATGGTTCATGGTACACCACAGGCTGACTTGATTAGCAAAAATTAAAAATAAAATCTGACAATACTAAGTGCTGATGAGGATGGGAATTAACAGATTTCTAATACACTATTGGCAGAAGTATAAACAGGCAGAACCACATTGGATAATGGTATACAAAAGAAAATATAATGAAAACCATTTGTACATGTGTTAGTATAAACACATTCATAGTAAAGTAAACTTGAAGATGGATTTGAGCAAGAATTCTGAGATAATCATGTTGGTGGGAGATCTGCAGAAAGTCTTTAAGAGAGCTAAATCTTCATCTTTTATAGTAGAAAAATATAGATATTCTCTGAAAATTGAAAAAATAAAAATAAGAATCTATAATCATGTTATTCAGAAATATGAAGGAAAATGGAAAACGTTAAGTGTGGCTTTTTTCCAGAAACTAGTGATGAGGCTTTGGAACATCTGGGGGCAGGAAATTGATTTTTTTTTTTTTTAAATTTTAACACTTGCAGGATTGTTTAACTTTTGAAGTTATGTGCATGTGTAATTTTGATAATAATAAAAATAATGATTTAAAAAGAAGCAAAATTGTGAATTCCTATGATTGAATTCTAAAGCCTTCCACTAGAACATTGGTTCTCCAGCAAAAAGGATCATGATGTTTCCTAAGTTTCAATTAGAAAGATTAAAGAAACATAAAAGTAAATAAGCAGCTAAAGAAATAATATGGAGGGAAACCAGGAGGCCAATCTAGAAAATCTTTAGTAACAAAATGGCTGCATCACTTAGCAGTTCATTTGGCTCAGGATTTGATCTCAGGATCCTGGTGAAGGGGATCAGGGACCTTTTCGCCTTTGTCAGGAAGCAGAGAGAAGTGTCACACTGTATGCCCTTTCAAAATAGTAAAGCAGACATTTGGGCACATTTTTTAGTAGAAGTACCCTTCTTCAGGGCATGTGTGATGGAAAAAAATCACAGGGAAAGCTCAAAGAATCTTTTCACAGAATTGGCAGACATGAACAAATAGAGGAAATATGGAGTACTT